CATGACACACACAGACACACAGGCAGGGAGAGAGCCTGGGGTCAGAGCGCCCCTGGAGCAGTTGGTGTTAAGGGCCTTGCTCAGGAGCCCAACGGAATAGGATTCCTCTGCCAGCTGTGGGATTTGAACCTGCAACCTTCCAGCCACAGGCGCAAATCCTTAGCAACAGGGCCACTGCTCTGCCAAGTAAAATGCTTTACTTCACACTTTTGCTACAGTTTGCACACATTTGGCTGAAGTTACATGTGATATGGAATGATATATTAATGGATTACTCTCCATATGTGCACTCTTACAGAGTGAAGACCTAGTATACGGTGGAGGTGCCATAACACCCATAATATAGTAGTTTACACACCCAGAAGAAATGATTTAGTATTGAACCAGTCATTTCCTTTTGGATCATTTCCTTTAGAGTTCTCAGCCACAAGCTTTTCTTTGGGGTACAGAAAACTAGTGGTACTTTAAATCAAACAGGTCTGTCACCCTTTCATAACTTCTTCATCTATACTGGAAGAACACTCCCAAGTACAAATAATCTCGTGGCAGTTGTATTTATCGAAAGCTTTCATAATATTCTTTTGATTTAGATCAACATTCCAAAATCCAGTCTCAGCTATAAAAAACTCCACACTAGTAATCCTTAGCAGATGGATAGGTAACACTCATTGTAGCCTCTGTCTAGTCTGCATGCTTGCTAGCAAACGTGCAGAACAGTTTGGGATACAAGGTATGTGTATTGATCCTGCTTGGATTTCAATTCCTACCCGACTGCATCAACCTTGGGTAACTCTCAGGAAATAGGAGCCTGAGGGCTCATGCAGGCCACTAACTGCAAACAAAATAAACTTCATTTGCTTTTGTGGGTAGGTGCTAATTTGCAAATCAGCCTTAAAAGCTGAGTTATCTGCATTATGTTGTCTAGCTGTGTTTGCATGAGACAGCTGGATAAATAACCACTGAAGGCAATTTTTTCTTAACCATCTTGAAACAATTCCGCTGTTTGGAGTAGTAACAGTTGTCTTACCACCTGCACAGCACCTTGATAAGGCCGCTTTAAGAACGTGTGCTTACGTTGATGTGTACACACAAACTAGGTGTGACCGAAGATATGCAAAAAAATATCTTGCGCTATTTATCACAGGCCTGGTCTACAGCTTTCTTGGTCAGTCAGTATGACTGTGTTTTTTTTGCCCACGCACAATGAGAGCTTTACAAAACTGTAAAATCCATACATTGTGTTTTTGGAGAGAATTGAGGATTTTGCTAAAATCTATAGTATAAGGATCAGTAGTTGTGTGATACTTGGTAACAAACTATTAGATGGTTTATCATTGGAGTTTAAAAGCCTCTTTTTAAATTCCCCCTTCTTATTCTGTTGAGTGTTTTTGTTACGTACTTTTTCTGCTTGTATTTACTGTACAAAACTGCAGATCTTTTGCTTTTCTACTAAGGGAAATAACATCCTTTTTTAGGACATGATAACATCCAAAACTGAGAACTCATCGAATGTCAGAAATGAAACCTTTTTGATCAGGGAACAGAAATAGTTATGAACTCGACAAGAAACCGTTGGTGAAATTAAGATCAACACTTAAAAATGCAAATGTGCTTTTAACCTAACGTACATTTAATTAATTCCATCTGTGCTACTACGGTCAGAATCAATCGGTGTTTACGTGACATTTATTCATTCAACCTCGGCTGTTCCTCGCGTTCAAGGATGATCCGCTTTTATGAACCCGAAGGTGAGCGATGAAGCCGATAGGTAATCCGCAGATGAACAGCTGTTCTCTCGAGACAGGATTTGCTCCTTCTTTTTGCATAAAGCACTTAGTCATTTGCGTGGGCAAACCAGATTCTTCTCTAAGAACTTGCAAGTTGTAGGAGCGTCGTCAGTGCAGAGAGATCATTCTTTCCAAATCTGAAAACGCCACCCCGCTTCAGATTAAAAAAAAAAGCCTCTGTGCAGTATGTCAAATAAAAGTAGTTCTGTGCACACACAAAAATGAGAGCAGCGAACACAAACTGTCCTCACTGAGGTGAAGAGGGAGCTGTGACCAGCACGTTGACATGCACAAGAAGCGTGTACTTGCTTGAGTCATAAATACATTTGCAAATCTAAGTGTCTGTATCTTTCCAAATTCGTGTTGCAAATAGTCTGCTTGTAAACTAACATCGACAGCACTGCAGACCAGCAAACTAGGACAGGCATGTTTTTGTATAAAGTGGAATATACGATCCATGATTAACAGCCACCTGGGTTGGACCTTGTTGGATGCGTTTTAGATGCACGATGGGTCTGGAATATTATCGGTTGCGATCTTGGGAATTTATACGATTATGAAAACGAATGTGAGTGATGTGGGGGCGTATTTGTGCCATGTGCTCTCCAGGCCAGCCGTTCTGCAGTACAGCAGTAAATCCCGGGCCAACAGTGTTGTATAGGAAAGCTGAAGTTCGTTACACCAAATCAGTTGTGCAGAAAACAGCGGACTTTCACCCTGGAGTCTTGACACTCTAAATAGCAGCGAGTGTCCCATGATGTATCTCTTGTCATGGTGCCTCCGGATGTGAGGATCTGACGGTCTTCGCAGGCAAAGCGAGCCCAGGCTGTGAGGGGAAAGCACGGCGGGGAAGCACTCTGTAGTGCATCAGAGGTGCTTGTGATTCGGTCATGGCTTCCCTGGGCGTCCTGCGTTACTTTTACAGCATCAACCGCTACGTTTCCCAGGAACTAGACAGCCCTGGGAAACGAAATGGCGGCGGGCATGGAGGTCTTCCCCTCAGGGTGTAAGGACTGTCTTCTACAGCTGAAGACGCTGTTATGAAGTGCATCGAAAGGGCTTGTCTGGTTTTGCCGTTATTTAGTTGTAGCTCACTGCAAATAAGCACATTCAGCTTCACATTTGCTGTCTCTTGAGGTTTGACAGCCTGTGGCACTTTACACTGATGAGCTACAGATCCATGCTGTGAACCCAGGTATAGATCCATTGAAAATCAGTTAAAACAGTTTCTAACGTTTTGTGATATATTCGTTCTTATATTGATCAATTTGGCATTTTTGAAACATTTCAATACAGCCCTAAATGTACAGTTTGTTTTTAGTTTGTTGTGTACTGCTGAATATTAAATGGAAGATTTGCTTCCTTTTCCCTTTTTTATTCTCTTTCAAGTTACACCAAAAGTTAACCTATAAACTCGTTAACACATTTTTTGAACCGATCAGTATAGGTTAGCACCAGCGTCTTCGTAAGGCCTGCAGATGTAATTTAATTGTTGTTTGCTTTTAATGTCAATAGCCGGATTCTTTAAAATGGGTGGATGAAGTTCGGCAGTTAAAAAGAAGGTGAAAGGAAGAAACATTCGTCTGTCAGAAGGGCAGGCTGACACCATGCACTGTGCAGGGTGGGGATCTGTGAAAAAAACCAAGGAGTGTCACTGAGCTACTGTGTCAAGTTATATTAACAATATTAGTAACAAAATGAATACCTATTAGACAGCATTAGTCATGAGAAACGCGTGTCTTCAAATCGTAAATGCACACTGAAGCAAACTAGAAACTGACTTTATGGCAGCATCCACTTCTGTAGGAGGCATTGTAAGGAGTTAAATTTGCAGAGGTTTTTTTCATCCATGCTTAACGTATGGTGTAGTTCCCTCCCTTCTTTGTCATTGTTGAGTTCCAGCCAAGAACATTCCGTCTTTGCAGCGCTGTTTAATGGTCAATTTTAAAGGGAAGAAAGTAAATCCCACCAGTTTTTTTTTTTCTGAAACAGAGCTTGCACAAACTTCATATACAAAAAATGTTGGAAGGGGCCATCTAAGTTCACTGTCTAGGATAATTGCACTGGCTTTTCTCGTATTAGGCAATGCAAATCCTCTCTTGAGGTGTTATTTTTTTCTTTCAGGATGCTGTCTTCGACAGTGTGATATGGCTATGGGGAGTCTGCATAGGGCTTTTAATTGGACAGTGCTAGATGTTTTAAAACAAGGGTGTGATCAGCTGTTTCAATCAAGAAAGTAACTTACACAGGCTGACTATCCCCTCAATGCAGAATAATGTAGGTACAGTAAAAGGGATCCACAATCTGGAAAGTTCTCGTGTAGTGTGTTTCAAATGTAGAACAGGATGCCTTATGAGTCTCCGATAGATAGCTAAAGTTATGACTGTAGCACCAGAAAAGGAATGTATCATGCATCAACTTGTCAGCTGCTGACCTTTGGAGGCCATAACCCTGCAGACTCCATTTTTGTGTTATTGCTGTGTTTCATCCGTATAAAATTTACTCCGAGTTCAGATATCTCAAGAAAAGACTCAGTTTTGTTTATATTTCCCATAGAATATGCATTATATATATATATTTTAAACTAAGCTTTGCACTTTTGCAGTTTGCAATGAAGTATATAAAGTTACAAAAGTATATATTGACTGTGCAGGGCAAGACAGATCATGACCTAAACTGTAATACTACATACTGTAAAGAGTTTTTTTGTTGTTGTGTCAATCTGTTATTCATTGATTGTTTTGCAATTAACTGTATCATATTTTTTTCTTGCAAATCTGCTTAAGATATCCAAAAATAAGATGTCCCTTTAGATTTCTTTAAATGAAAAAGAATATATAAATTATTCTTAAAGTCTGTAGAATTCATAAATATTGAAAATGCAGGGATGGCTTGTTCAATATAATAAGCAATGGAAGGCAGTCTACAAATATAGGATTCCATGAAAATATAGAATAAAATACCAGATTCCTGTAGTCAAGTCCATGGCATGAGGTAAAACTCTTACATACCATAGACTGAAGAGAATATTGACGCTCAAGTTTTTTGACTAGGATTTTCTTCTAGTTCACTGTAAAGAATGAAACATTGACAGATGGTCCTGCTGTGTTAAGGTTACAGTCACCGGTTGAAAAGTTGAGGTTCAAGAATGTACACATTTTTCACAGGATTTTTTCCTTATAGTAAAATGCATTTTCTTTTTTTCATTTGCAGACTCCCAGCAGTCAGGAAGTCCAAGTAACAATGAGCCTGGCAAGAATCCTCCAGGTGTGTACCATGAATAAATATTTGCATATATTCAGTAGAACAAAGGTAGACCTTATGTGTAGAAATTTACATAGTATAACAACAAGATGGGGCAGGCAGCATGACTGGAAGATTCAGATGGCATTTGCCTCTGTAGAATTGCAGTCATTTGTGTCACAATCAGTCCAACATGCATTGTTGTATGTGCTAGAGGTATTTTTTCTACAAAAATACTCTTGGTCGGTTGAACAGTAGTACATTTCAAGCTCATATGAATACAAGTAGGTTTCATATCCTGCTGGTTTCTTAGGTTTACGGACAGAAAACATTCCATTCAATGGAGAATTCTATGAGAAGGTAATAAAAGTAAAATACTGAGGATAAAAGAGGTGCCAGAACTAAAGTACATTTAACAAGGCTGCAGAAAACAAGCCCAGTTCTTAATTTAGAGCAGTGGAGTGCAGAATTTGAAAAATACCCCAAATGATAATTTTCAGAAATTCTGGAGTGTTAGAAGCATGGAAATAAAGTGAGCGAAGCTGAAAACTGGTGGGAGTTTACTGTTACTTCTGGGGTAATCAAGTCCCAGTCCTTCCAATCCATTGCAGTGCTGTTCTTTAATGAGCACACAGAATTCCATCAGTACGTGAACTGCTGAGAAAGGGTGGGCACTGGCACATGGCATATTATAGCATAGCATATCTTATCGTTTTCCTATATTCTCATCCATTAAAGGATTTCCTGTAAAGGCTCAAGATTGTTTCTTTTGATATTTGCTGCATCTTGACTTCTGCACCTGGTTTAAAATAATTGATACATTATTGGTATAGGCACAGCCCTTATTAGCAGCCTGTGTTTAAGCCTTGAAATCAAAATGTTTGGAATCATTTATGTATTAGAAAGTAAAGGTCACTTTAACCACAATAAACTTGAAACAAGCTATAGTTAATTGAACACTTTTCAGGGTGGTTATCAATAATACTATTTTGGTAATGTCTAGTGAATTTATTAGAATACACTTTAATATGTATTTCTTCATTTACATTCAAAACAGGCTGGCTGTGCGAGACGGGCCAAGAAGTAAATTCATACAGCATGCCTTTTGTATTAAGTTGGGGAAAATTTTTGTCCACTGGCAAAAAAAATGGTTTATGCATAAGGATGAAATATCCTGTAATTCACTGGTTTTGCAGAAAACAAAAACCTAAACAAAAACATGTAATACTATATAAAAGTCATCAGGCACATTCCTCACTTATTTATTTGCAGTTCTGTAATGTTGACAGTTTTGTTTTCATCATTGGAAGAAGCACTGATAATGGTTTTCTGGAGTAAATAGCTTTGGTGAATATGCCCCCAAGATGTTCTGCTTGTATCCAAATATACCCCGCTGTCGCACACAGTACGTTTACGCTTTCAGATGGAAACCTGTCCAGCAGCTGCTTGCAGGTTTATTTTCTTAATTCCTCTACCTGGGCAAACATGTTCAGAGTCTGTTTCTTCCCCTCCAGTGTGGGGTTGGTGTATGAACGTGTTCCTCACCATCGCTTTCGGAGATGTTGTAACCATTTCAGCCGAGGTGTGACACATGTAGGCTCCAGGAGGGCTTTATTTCCGCCCGGTGGAGTGGATTACGGGGAGGTTAAGTGGTTTGGCCCCGGGGTTATTCAGGGTCTTCGAGGCAGAGAGGCTCTGAAAACAGAGGGCACCCTGCTGTCCAGTGTGACGTTTGCGCTGCTGTTGCAGTGTTATTGTCTGGAGCCCTGCACTGCATTATGACTTAATTGAACATGGTGCAGACTTAATCACCTTCAACATTTGCAACTACTGGTATTCAGTAGTTGAGAAGAAAATCTTAAAATACTGTATACGCACACAGCATTTCTTTTAAACAGGGAAACTGTGAAAGGATCTTCTCTTTGGCAATATTGTAAGTCCTGATAACAAATTTCTATTGCTTTCTTGTGGCTTGCTCTGTGCCAGCAGAAGACTGCAACTCTGTACCTCAGCTGGAGGAGGTACAAAAATTGATTTCCATTTTTTTCTTTCGTACTTCTTCTGTGTGACTAATGAAATCTGACTAGCGCAAGCACGAGGTCAGGCCAGTGACGTGTGCACAGGGTGGCTAAGAAGTGGTTTTATTCCCTTGCTGTGCCCCTCAAGGCTGACATGTCTGTGCCGCCGGTGTGTAGTGCCACCTCACATGGGCCTTGTGTGCACCGCAGAGAGATGGAGACGTCCGCTTCACGCCACATCTCCAGCAGCAGAAGTCTACACGAACACAAAACCTTCCGTTCTTTATTATTCCACGCTAGTTTTCCTTTTTTCCTGTAGTAACCTATAGCGTTCTTGACCTAATATTTACACTGCTTTCCACTCAGTGTGTACTTCAACTTGGGCTACAGGCAGGCAACACTGCTCCGAGGCCAGAGCTTTTCATCTTCCTCCTACAATCACACTGGAAAGGAAAGGGGCAGGGCATTCATGTGTGGCTGCAGTCCGTGGAATTCTAACCTTTAACAGTGGATGCAGGAAAATGAGCTATGAAGGTTAGCGGATTAGGGCTTGATAGGATTAGAAGGGGCAGAAAAGGATAAGTCTGTACATGCTAAAGTGCACGTTTGCTCTGGAGGTTCAAAAAGCAATTAAATGAGATTTTTGCTTTCTACTTTGGCATCTGTAAGCATGGTATCTGAGGTTGCTGAACTTAGTTTGTGAACTTAGTGAATTTAGTGGGAAGTAAAGCGATAATTTGTATTTGCAGGTAAGCTGAGACAAAAATCCTTGTGACACTGTACTGTATATATACAGACAAGCCCTCTAATCCAACATACAGTAGGAACATTCCCTCCTGATATGCTGCAAGATGAGTAAGATGTAATGTAGCTTCAGTGAACTTTTTAGAAATAATTTCTGCAAAATTGTATGTAAAAACAAAAAAATAGAAACAATCTTTCTAATCACTGATTGCTAATATCTTATTTTAAGCGCAAAAAACATTCTGTAGTTTATTCAGGCTGAAAGAGTTAAACCTTTGTTGCCAAAGTCAGCACTGGACTTCTTCAGAATTAACAGCGAAACATAAATCATAGGACACAAGAGGGAATTATGTGGAAGTGCCTTTAATACTGAGAACAGGAGGCACTTCTTCACACAAAGGGGTGTGAGATTCTGGAGCAGGCTACAGTATCTAGTTTTGCTGCTGAAGCTGTTATCCTGGGTTCTTTCAAGAAATGGCTGGATGGATCCATCAGTCGGTTTCTACCAATCACACCGTTCAGGTCGGCCAAACGTTCTCCAATCATTCTCGACTTCTTCTTCTAATTAAACTGTGATTGCAGTGCTTCCCATAAGTTCATGATTTTTCAGCAACTTTTATATTTTTTGGAGAAACTTTTTAACAACTGCAGAAACAAACTCTTATTACAGCACAAGGAGCCCATTTTTGATAGCCAGGGCACAAGGACAGCACCATTGCCTTAGTGGTGGAGGGAGAGACCTGCCCCAGGGGAGTGATTGTGAACAAAAGCATGACCCAGCACACGCAAAACACGTTATGAAATAAGTTTCAGCTGAAGCAGTCCCTGGAGAGGGCAAGAATGGATGAAAAGCAGTCTCAGGGTTTTAAGAAGTTGTAACCTACAACGATTGGATGTACAACGTTTAGGGAAGGAAGAATAAAACAAACTGGTGCAGTTTCTTCTGCGTCCGGCAGCAGTGTTGGAGCTCCCCTAGCACAAAGCTAGTATAGTTAAAGGATGGGCTTGGCCTATGTCTGCATCTGGAAATGTTGCATACAGTGCTTCACCTCAGTCTTGTGAGACACCCGGAGCTGATTAATATTAATTTACAATTGCATGCCCTTAACGGACACTGTATCTCTGAAAGTCATTTATTGAGGGACAAATGGAATTCTGTGTAATTGTATCGGATGTTGCATATACACAGCAATAGTGTCGTCGTCATTATTATCCATATGCATCTTCTCAATTTCTTTTGTACTGTTGGTAAACACTGCCTTAATGTTAGTATTCTAACATTTTGAATACTAAAACATTAGACATTTTCTCTTGTTACGTTGGGTGTCTCCTGTGTCTTTTTTTTTTTGTTATTGATTTGAAATATTTCGTTTTTTTCTCAATGCCCTGTCTTTATGGTCTGTAGAACTGTTTCTCCCTGAGGTTTGCTCTGAGAAAGTCTCCCCGAGACCACGCTTTCCAAGTGCAAATACCAGATAGTGACACTAAAGTCATTAAAATCACCTCACGAGGGAATGATAATGATCCCACACCTTAAAAGATGTGTAACCACTCTGTGCTAAAACCCTAGCAATTATTCTGATGTGCATTTTGACAATAAGGCTTGCTTCACCACTGAGTTCAATTGTCAGGAGCTAAGACATTTGTCCTGGCCATGAGTGTAATCAAAATGTGGACCCAGAAATTCTGTTTTTAACTTTGATAGAAATACACTAAGGTTCCTGCTTTGCTGGGGTTTAAGTAGGCAAACAGAATAGGGATTTAGGACAGTAGCTAATTAGAAGTGCCTGCAACTACTGACCTTCCATAATGTTAATAATGTTAAGTGATGCAGAACTTATTAAAACAATTAAGAGTGTGCCCTTTTTATGCATTTAAGCTCTTTAATATTTCTGTTCACTGATTTAGGTACGGTGCTATTGTAGCGAATGCATTTTTAAAGTGAAGCAAAAGCCAGTTACTGTATATGCTTCTGTTACTTTCCAGAGCCCAGTGTGGTACAACAATGCATTCTCTTTCTTAGCCTTTGGCTAGTCATTCTGTGTACTGTCTGAATTTAATTAGGGCTACCTACCAGCAGTGTGCACTTGAAAGTTTGAAGTACAGTGGCTGGCACTCTGCCTGCGAAGAAACAATGGCAGCAGTCTTACCATTAACATTCTTGGCTTAGGAGAGTTTATTTCTGGGAGTGATTTCAATGTAAAACAAGACTGAGTGTGGCATTTTTGAGCAAAAACCGATGCTGAATAGTTTATCAACCAACGTCCTTGTAATTATTACAAATTGTGGATGCCTCTTTTCGGCCTCAACCAGTGTTTTCTTTTTTGTCCCAGTGTGTAATACATTAAGAATGAAAATAATCAGAGCTTAATTTAGTTATACCTCTGAAACAGGTCTGTATATTTGACTGCCAAGCAAAACATGACAATCGGCAGATTACTGTAGAAGGCTGTGTTCAGAGAGCTTTTATACAAGATGCTGCACTGAATGTGAATTGTAGCTGAGACAATCTCAGTATTGCTCATGAACCGACTTACTGCTGGATCGGTCTTTTTTTTCATAGTTGTAGCCACATCTATTTCATCCCTGACGTTTTTCTTACACATCTGCTATTTAAAAAATATTAGGAAGATTTTTATATCTGATTTCAACCACATGGCACTTGTTGGCACTGTTCAGTTAATCAAATCCTTTGTTTCTTTTGTCCAGTAAACTGCAACTAGCAAATTATAGCCCACATCTTGAAATCAAGTTTTCACAAATTGCTTGAAAAGTGGAACTCCCCAGCGGTCCAGCAGGTAAAGATGTTTGTTGCGGGTTCGAGGTGGGATGACACCACTGATCAGGATTTACCACAGCAGCGGTGACGCACAGTTGGCTTTGGCAGTAGTCATCTAGGGATTATTCGGTGAAGCAGTGACTTCTGCGTTTCCTTGGGTGCCTCCAGGCTGGTAGTGATGTCAGTGACTGACATGCTATTCCTACGTGCAGCCTTACATCTCCCATAAGTCTCTGAAGCACTTGTAGAGTGTCAGAAAAAGAGCAGCTCATTTGTAGGGTAGATTAGACGGGCCTGTCTGCCCTTCCTCACTCTTTCTGTCACTGAACCTGGTGCTGTGAGCTGAGACGTACCTGTAATTCCCAGTGGATATATAAATATAATTGGTGATTCTATTTGAAAAAATGTGTAAGACAATTGTGACCTTGTGTTACAACCTCAAAGAAAAGCAAAACCTCAATGTGAACCATCACATTTTCAGACCCAGAAAGGTCTCTACAATCTCTGTCGGTGTCAGTTCACCTCTTGTTTCATGAATGAGGAAGACTTCAGTTTGACCGTTGTCTTACTGTCTAGCCAAATGTGTTCTGCTGATTTGCTCGCTCAATGGGTTGTGCTGGAGTGTAAAATTCAAGAGAATAGAGCTTAACCTCCGGAGAGCTTGCAGAGACTAGGGACGTGCTTCCCAGTGTTCATGAAAGCCTGGCGTGGAAAATCGCCTCCAACTCTTTTCCTCCGTTCGGTTGAACCTGTCATCTCAGACATCTGGTACAACTCACCTCATATATCAGACAGCACCTTCTTGGCAAAGTTTGGAAGCTGGGGGATTTTGAATCATTTTGATCAATATCAGAAAAAAATCAAGAACTGAATGATGAATTTGAAAGCGCTTTTCTGAAATCATTTTTTTTTTAATGAGAAAGTTTGTGAGACTCAGCACTGGAAAGGAAAGCAACGTAATCAGAAATATCAATTCCTGGTCTTTTGCTTTTTATGCATCAGTTGTTATGAGGAAATGAGGAAAATGGGCTACTTTTAAAACAGTATGTGAATTTAGAAAACCAAAAGCGAGGGAAATTGAGAGTCCATGTTTGTCACACAGCTCTTAGGAGACTTGTAACAGTCTTGTTGATCGATGCTGACATCTTTACTAGTCTCGTTTTCTTTCCGCAGGTTACCTCGAGGACAGTTTTATAAAGTCAGGAGTCTTCAGTGTTTCGGAATTAGTGCGAGTATCCAGAAGTAAGTGCTGCGTTTTTCCATTCCTCAACGAGTTCCTGGAAAAGGCCAGCTTACTGTGTTGTAGCCTGAGGAGAGGGATTCACTGCATTGTATGAAGCAGATGTCCCCAGCATGCGAACTCATGCTGTACTTTTCAAAAGTTCAGAACATCTGGGGTCAGAGTCTACAAGGCTGGCTACTGCCTTGACACCAAAACATTTTAGATGACTTCCTTAATAAAGCAGGTTTTCAGCCAAGCTGGCTGAACATACCTTCCATGCCGTGCTTTTTGTTATTTTGAAATTAATTTTTAAGTGTAGGTCTAAGTACAGTATCAGAAGTGAAGTCTTTCAGTGTGTGAGCCTTTGCAGAGAAAATAGTATGGAAAATCTGGTCCAGTCAGTGTCAAATGCAAGCAGTGTTTAGACACGTCTGGCTGTTAATTCGCCAGTACAAAAAATAAAGGACGCGCTTCCTTGCCATGTTTGAGGAGTAAGATTTTGCAGTTAACAGGTTTCATTCCATTGGCTGTGCCATGCTGTGCTGTTATCTCGTATCGAGGCAGCGAGGTATAACTCGAAGCTGTCTGTGTGGATTTTCCCGAGCACAAACCCCTGTACATGTCCACACTGAAACAGAGCGACCTTGAGATTGTCATCACATGCTTGTGTCTCTTGGGTCCTGTGGCACTTTTGTAAAACTTTCAGAGTAACTCGTTTTTTAAACAAATGGAGCTAAGTGCCTTCAATTACCTGCCTTTCAACAGGGGCTTTCATTAGTTCTAAGAATATTTTCTTTGGGGATTAAAACACAGCTCAGGATTGCCTTTAATTTCCAGATGTGAAGTGAGTCTTTTTGCATTTATATATAAAGTTTATATATGGCTATATTCATGGAAGTAATATGTAAAAAGAAAAATAATCTTAACAAGTATTCAGAATTTGCTTTCGTGGAATCATAAAAATGTTTTGAATTATGTCATACAAAGCATTGTTGTTCAAAGCTTGTGTCATATTAGATTTCTTATATATTTACGACTGTTACCTCAGACCTTGTATAGATCCCTAATGTAGCCTGTGAACCTCTACTCTAGTGTTCAAGGAATGGATTCAAAAGTTTTGCTTAACTAAACAGGCTTTTGCCAGAGACTGCATCTACAAGTGCGATTCTGATAATATCAAATCAAGCAAGTAAACTGCACTAGTTAGAAGTGTTTCCAGTGATGAATAAAGCATGCAAATCTAGGTTCTCATTTGTTTTTATTGCTTGCCTGGCGCTTAAAATGCCTATGAAATTACTAATGGGAGAGGCCCTCAATGCATTCTGGTAGATGATACTTCAGAGCTGCTTTGTTTAATGCTTTTGGTAAACCTCAACCCACAACAGACACCACTGCGCTTAAACTTTTGTCAGCTCCAAACCACGTTTTCTTAGAATATCTAATGACTTCAAGAGCTAGTACAGAAGACTTTTAATAGTATTACGAGTAAGGGCACCATAACAGAAACTGAACAGCCTACCTCTGTATATAAGGAAAAATTATATAAATAATGGAGTTTCTTAGAATTTGGGACTACAATAATACCTCCTTTTTCGGAAGCAGACTCTTTGCCATATTCTGGAGGTGTTTCCACAGTGACTTTCTTATTTTGCAGTTCATTTTCAGGAAGCGCATTGCACTGTAATGGGGTGAGATCCTTGATGGAAAGTTTTCCATTTGACTCTTTCCTCCTTTTCCCCCCCCCTGCTGTGTGGGATTTTCTTTTCCACGCTGCTGAGGCCGGAAGAATAAAGAATTCAAAGTGATGCACCAGCCTTAAAGAGCACAGATCTCCTGGTTTACCTTCCACATCTAGGGTTCGAGAGTCAGTGGCTGTGATAAAAAGTGAAAGAAAACAGAACTATGGAAATGTTAATGGTGACATGGAGAGTTAAATGCATCTTTTTACTTAATAAAAACACAAAACAGCTTGAAATTCTTCAAGAATCTGAAAGCTTTTATCACTCATCCATCTCTTTAAGAAAGTAGTTCTTAGAAGTACGTTGTGTTTAGTTTTATAATAGAGATAATACAGTACACCATCTAGAAAAGTAATCTGATTTTACAGACGGGCACGGTGCAGAAAAACGTATATCGTTTTTGGACACCCATTATATCTGCAACTCTTGGAGGAACCTTAGGCATACACAGTTCCAGATGCCATTGATTCAAATAAGTTACATGTTTCTTAGTAATTTATAGTGAGTAGAATAAGCCAGATGCCAGTTTTGATCCAAATGCAGTGCTTCATGACCATGGCTAGGGATGGAAAATCCAATGGGATGCAATCCCATCACCTTTGAAACCAAAGGGAACTGAACCCCAGATGCTGATGTTATCCAATCGTGCCTGAACCCGTTGAGAGCCCAGCTAGTCGCTAATTTACCAATAACTGGAAATTTGTCAGAATCTAGTCAACATGCACTGGACTTCCAATGAGAAGGATAGTCAAATTAGTCAAATGGTATCAATTGAAAGTTCTGTAATTGAACACTTCAACAAAAAAAAAAAAACACTTACTTCCACAGTTTAACTATGTGCACTTCGTTGTGTCACATAATCTAATGCTTCTGACTGAAAATTTGTAGATTATGATTCGGTGTCATTCTCTTTCTGTAAAAGCAGGGCTTATTAATGCAAAGAGGTCTGCTCCCATGCAAATAAGGTTAACTGTGGATGTTGAATTTATCCTTTTATGTGGCATCTCCTGAATAACTGGAAATACAATTATGCTAAAACGATCTGTAGTGTTCCTAACACTTTACTTTTTAAGCATTGAAGTGGATTGCACTTGATGGCTTTACATTGTTGTACAATGTTTGACAAAGCAGAAGTACTGTACATCAATAACATTTTCTTTGTGATAGCTTGAATAAGGTCCTTCTATATGTGTTCTGCCCCTGCAGCGCCGATCACCCAGGGGACCGCAGTGAATTTTTCAATCGGAGAGCTCCAGGGTCAGCCATACTATCATGACTTGAACTCCAGCGTGAGCCTCCACCGGTCGCTGTCCTCTCCTCCAGGCAGGTCAGTCTCATTGCAGCTTCGCCTTTTGTCATCTAACTACTTAGTAAAGAAATCATGTTGCATTAGGTTTGGAGGTAATTTTATATCACTAAGCTCAGCATGACAGCTCTTACATTCATTTAAGATTTTATTCATATTCACTTGGTTAAAAGGCATCTGGCCTATCTTTGTCATGTCGAGGATTATTTCTAGAGCCCACAGTTCTGTATATTGTCAGAATATTGTGAGTAACCTGAACACTATTTCACCCATTCATAGTCCACAAAGGCAAGGCAACTTTTTCAGGTTGTCACAAAACAGCGTCATTATAATTCTAAATATATTGATATGGCATATCAGAAATACAGGCAAAATCTTTGTGGTAAAAAGTAAAGCATGATTTCAGGTGTGTCCTCTGTGTCGATTTAGTATTACTTATTTTTTTCATTTTTAATCACAAAATCAGTCTCTCTTTGACCTCTGTTCTTGCTTATAGAAACCACTGATACATACCTTGTGTTATAAAACAAAATCTTGACAAAGAAGGAGCCATTGAATAATTGTGTGAAAGTAAAGTGCATATGTCAGGACCCTTTGCCAGTTGGTACAACGCATAACAAATAAGTGATTTAATCATCAGTTTTGAACATATCAAGCACATCTGGCTGATCTAAATGCTCTCTTATTCTAATTCTAAAATGTTTCACACTCTCTGAGGTCCAGCTGGCAAAAAATAAGAATATAATCATCAGGGAAACATAAATCTCACCTCATGAGGTATATGTACGTATATGTATGTATAAGGTGTCTGTGTGTGTGCACTCACAAGTGTAAAGAGGGGTAGTAACAGATGGACGCTGGCCTGCACCAATATTGCAGCCAATGTCCGAGCCCTTGAAATGTGTCGTTTTCACTTCACCAGCAAACGGCCTAAGACTATCTCCATAGAGGACAGCATGGAGACCAGCCCGTCTGGTGACTTCTACTCTTCCCCCAGCTCCCCTGCCAGCGGCAGCAGGACATGGCACGAGAGAGACCAAGGTGAGATTTTAGGGACGAGCGCTGTACTGCATATAGGCTCCTCACCCTCATGCTCTTTCACTTGTCAGCACCTATGGCCTGTTGGTACAACACAAGCAGGGGACAGCAGATAAAAAGTGAGAAGTGCACTTTCATGTTCATAGGTATACTGTACATCATATTTAAACCCAAACTTTTAGTCCTAAAATTGAACAACTTTGTCTTTTAGGGTCTTAATTATTGTAACACTCAAAAATCTTAAAATATGTTTGTCTGAAATAAACCTAAATCTTATTTTATTACTCTTTATTAACTCCAATATACCCACTGGAATTTCCAGTGCGTGGAGAGTACTGAACTCTCCTGCAGTGTCATTTTCCTATCTCCATTTTTTAACAAGAAGGGACTTCAATCTTGGTTTGTTTGTTTTTTAAGGTGGTGATGGTAAACTATGTGTATTTTGGATGTTTTTATGCTGGAGACATCCAAAAAAGTTGTCGGAGAAAGAGCTATAGCTTTGAGTCTGGCAGCAGAGGTACATAAGCTAGGGACTGAACATGCTGAGCTCATTGTAAGTCTGACATGATTGATGCACTCCCTGCCTCCTTTTGTGTGCTGTGCTGCTTTGGTGATCTACAACCCAAGTGCTGTTTAACGCAGAGGGTCACTGGTTCCTTGATAGCAGCACGTCATCAAGCTTTGAATCACTGCATCTTGGAATGCTAACCAGCCTGCTCCTATGTGCACACCTCACATTTGCAGCATAAAACTAATGGTGTTCTTATAAGCCTCACATTTCCACTACCAATGGATCGTATGCTGTAAATAATTAAATGTTTTAAATTATTTACATTTTAAATTTTTTAAAAATTATTACTATTAATTTTAATTACAACCAGAACATTGTAATTCTGGTTTAAATCCGCTTGGAAGTATCTTTCACACTGTATATATAAGCTAATATGTGTTTTATAATGGTAGTGAAAATACTTAAAAATATAAATTTCCTATAGGACCTAAATTGTACAGGACCACCTGTACAGCCATGGTATATAGTATGGTTAGAAATAAGGCTTTATTTATATATTTTGTTAACCATTTAATTGTGTGAAACTCAATTTAGTTTGTTTTATAGATGAACTACAACTTTTATTCCTTTCAAATGTGTTAGAGGTGCCATTACTTACAGATGTGTAATTAATAAAACTCAAGACAAAGTATTACCTTTTTCATTTCATACTAATTTCAGTCTTCTTTGTACTCCTCACCTTGAAACTTCCCTTAATATCTTAAGGTTAAATTTCATTATTGCTTCACTCTGTTCCAGACTACTCTTCATCTATCTGAGAAGACACAATCCTCTCTATTTGTTCTGTATCCAGAAGAGTCTCAAATTATCAGCTTCTCAGTTTGCTGATTTTGGTTTTCAAGAGATAGGAGTTGGGGGAGAAAATTTATTTGCATTGTAGTTCAAGTTTGATGAAGAAAAGTATCACTTAGTATATGATAATCGGTGTATTTGGGACTTGCAAACTCAAACAAACAAACGTTTAGTTTAAGTGGGTTTTGATGTGAAAAATGTCTTTTTTACTTAGAGGTACCCATGTGTCTCCTGGTGGAACAATAAATTAGGGGAGCTCCAAGACTAGTCTTACCTTTTAATCTGAAAGCCATCTAAAATTTAAAGTCCTAATTTGTGACTCATAGGCAATCTTACTAAACCTACTTAACATTTCCAAAATTATCCTTCGGCTGCTGCTTGCTATTCATGCTTTCTTGTTATATTTAGTATACAGTATTGAGTTTGTTGAAAGGGCATTGTCTCTCATTCTGCAGAAGAAAAGTAGAATAAGAATACTGCTAGCCTTTCAAACAGACAATTTTGAAGGTGCTTATTCTTCTCAAGTTGCCAATAGATTTTATATTTTGTCAAAAAAATGAATACGCACAGGAAACCACTATTTAAAATAATAAGCAAGCATAGATTTTTCAGGTGTTGATTTTACAGTATATCATGCAGGATTGAATAAGCTAATAATTTAATCTTTTTTGTCTTCCTCCTTGAGCTAGAAGGAAGGTGCATGTGTGAATTATCCACCATATGTGTTTCACAGGTGGGGAAGAGCAGTTTATTTTTCAACATAATCCTCTACATCCGCACACTTCTGCCACGGTTTCACCGGGATATGGATATACTTATCCACACTCTTACTGTCATATACTTGTGACGTACACGGTGCCTAAGCCATTCCTAAGAACATAATCGAGAGGAGGCCATTCTGCCCATCTAGCCCATTTGGTGGTTAGTAGCTCATTGATCCAAAGAGTTCAACCAGCTGCTTCTTGACAGTAGCCAGGAACATCGGCAGGTTAGCTTGTTGCATACTCCCTTGACCCTTTATGTGAAGACATTCCTCCTATTCTCGCTTTCAGAGACCACTAAGACATAATTTCTTATTTAGTATTTGTTTCCCGCACTGCCACGTTGTCTTAATATTGACCTTGGAGAGCTTCTCACACCTAATGGCTGCTGCCCTGAGAAAGAAGGCAGTGCTTGGTTAGAAAGCCAGATGGGCGCTACAGTGTAGTGCATAGAGGAGTTTGCTTCTGAACCCACCTTAAAGTCTGGGTTTTGTACACTCAGATTTCCTTCTGTTTCGACCGATGAGGGACTCTCTCCAAGTCCTGAAGATCAGTGTTGAAAACAAAGTCTAGGTGGGCTTGCAGAAATGGTTCCAGCTGTCATTTTTATATTACAAGAGGATCGACTGTGAATCATTGACTGTGTGTGGATGCCCAGGAGCGCTTAAGTTGAAAAGTGTTTCCCACCTATGAAGTGTATTCAGTGGATAGCTCATAAATACACTCTACTTATTGACTTACCCTCATAATCCAAGAAGATGATCTGTTTAGTATTGTCTATCCAATTCACATGTTGGAGGTGACTTGATCCGATCAGTGTTCCATAATGCCTGGGGTGGATATTCTCTTCTGTTCTTGTCTTTTTTTTCTGTGTACTTCTGTGTACTTCATCAAGAGAAATGGAGATCACATGTAACAAAAACGATTTTCAGTGTGCAGAAAAAAAACAGCATGCAACAAAAAAAAAAGAGTCCAACAGGCATGATTCGCTCCATTTTGTAAATCTTATGTAATTCAAAAGTATTTCTTCTCTGTTGGTGTTCAGGGCTGTGGTTTTAGGAGTGTTGGGCGTTTGACACTTAAAAAAAAAAATGCTGCTTAAAACTCAGAAATAATGTTTTATCTTTTGTCTGAAGATTGCGTGCTAGAAGTGTACAATTTTAACAGAAATGGAAAGTGTGGCCGTAGGTAAAATCTAACATTTTGCACACTGTGTTATGTAGTGGAGGACTGCAATGGTCATGCACAGCTGATGTGAGCGGTGTGCGTTGTGAAAAACCCGAGAAGCGTTAGCCAGACCTGTACATACAGTATGTGGGAAAGGGGAGGAAGAATGAACAGGTGTGTGAGACAAGCAGGTGTTAAGGTAGCTGTTTGAACTTGTCCTGAATGGGTAGGCTTCACTGAAGTCTGACTAACAGGTGGCCAGCCAGTTGGTGGGTCATGTGACATTTATCCAGGGAGTGTCAGATATGACAGGCAGCTGCAGGCAGTGGGGGAAAAGGTGCTTTGATGGGGGAAATTGCTGTAACGCATGTCTCATTAATATGTCTTATGGTTCTGCTGAATTCTACAGCAGTTATAATTAAGGGCTGACTGAAACATATTTCCAGGCTTGTCTCCCATCTTATTCTCGCAGTCGAAGTAAATGGTTGCCTTGGGCACACAGCGGCCGATTCACCATCACTTTAATAGAAGCAGCACATCTGCAGAGCACGTTCTCCAGCGTTATTTAATGAACGTTTAAAGAAATGTGGCGAGTTCTTCTGTTTTGTGTTTCAGCTCTTACATGCTGAAATCAATGAAGTCATCTTAAAATACTGCTGTTAGGGGGGAAAAAAGGAGTACTTGTTCATGAGAAAGTAGTTGTTTTTTAAATATTATAGAGAAAATTAGAAAAATATTAAATCCATATGGGGGAAATAACAGGGAGCCACGAGAGCTGCCAAACTTTTATTTCCACGATGTTCCCACTGCAACAAAAAATTGCACAGCGTTTGTAAACCAGCTTTTTTCAGTTTAATGGAGCTGGTGATTTTTAATACAATTTACTGAAATGTTTTTTCATTTTTGAAACTTGCCTTGCCCCTTTTCAGAGCAGACAAGCTCTGGAGACGAGCTGTAACCTTCCCGTTGTTCTGTTTCTGGCACCTTGGGAAGCGGCTGGATAATAAACAGCTGTTTGCAATGAAGAAAATATCAGCTTTCAAGATCTTGGCTTTTCAGAAAAATGTTGCCATTTCTAAGACTTCTTTTTAAATACATAAAATCAACAAGGTTTGTACATTTGAGATACTTTTATCCCAAATGTTCACCGAAGATTTTTTTAAACATTCAGATATCTGAGCTGCACATATTTTAATTTAATGCATGTTATTTTAGTATTTGGTATGCTCAGTTATAACTGATGGCCACCATTTTTAAAATGCCTATAGATAATCGACACAGAATTCTGAATCAATTGCTTTTTAGAATGTTTGAACATTTGGTTTTCACTTGGAGATAAAATAAACGTAATGATTTAATGCATCTTGATTTCAGGCTGTCGGGCTGCAAAATGTTACTTTGGAAAGTATGTGCCAACTTTCTATAGGCACTGTATATACAGTATATAGCCAGTAGAAGTAGAGATTGAACAGTAATAGCACAAGGACATTTTTTTCTAAGGTCGTGGTTTGTATAGTAAGGACGAAAAAACCTGACATGGATGAGTGTTGAAAAAGAACAGTGTATGTAAAATCTAGCCTTTGTTTTTTTCCTTTTGGTTACTTTTGTGTACACGACTTTTTTTTTTCTGATCTCAGAAAAAGAGCTTTTTCATTACACAAAGAACAGCATTGACACAAAATAATTATATGGTAAATAAAAGTATTTTTAATTCTGTCTTCAGCGTGAAGAATAGAGCAAGAGATAACATGAGCCCTTGATTTCTTGCAGTCAGTTTGGTACAGTACATGGTACATTGTTTCAATAATAGTTTGTTTTTACTCTGATGTTAAATATTTTTATTGCCCTTTTCTTGTCCTTTTCATTACTGGGATATATTTACTTTTCATCTGTCGCAGTGAGTTTTTGAAATTTAGAAAAAAAAAGAGATTTATGATCATTTTGTGATGTTTCGACTAAGATGGTTTATAAGAGACTTTCACAGTGATGGCAGTAATTATGGGAAACGAAAGTCAACATCTGAAAACATTTACTCACACAAAGCCCCGCGACAGACAAAGATGTGTGCTGCATGTGAGCTGAGGAGTACAGTACCTTACATGCATCATTAGCTCTCTTGTCAATTTGTCTCATAATTTTTTTTCTGTGCTGGATTAGAAGACACACCAACCCCCAAAAGGCAACTTTAAGCAAATGTTTAGGGACGTCTTTTTAGTTACAGTTGTCTCATTTTTTCAGTATTTGCTTTTTCAGCATGGTTCTTGCCGTATTTCAGCTCATGGCACGCGGTAAATAGGCAAATGTCATCACCCATCTGTGAACTTGACCATTTTGTCGGAATCGTTGCGTGAACTCGACAACGTGAATGTACACAAGGTGTTCAACCAAACCGTTTACACTCATCAACATGCTGTATGTTTTTCGGTCTCTTTGCTTCCATAATATAATGATAAATGAAGAGCCTTCAGTACATGGTCTTGATTTTTAATTGCTGGAGTGAACATAAACCTATACTGACAGACTTCAAACCTGGACATGTTACCCCTTCCTTTTCTTTGCATTCCTTTTTCCTGTCTTGGTAATGGTTCCCTCGGTTTTTGCCCACCTACAGTAGCTTGCGACTGGAAAGGTTTAAATACCTTAGACCAGGCCCCTAACACCTAGATTCTGTTGTGGCTTTGTCGAATTATATATGTAATCTATTGTTGTAATTTTAAATTGGGGAAAGCTTCAACAAGATTAATGATAGATTTGCTCGCTTTCTCAATTATGGTGTTTGAATCAACTTGCGCCCATAAACTTCCTTACTTCCCTGGCCTTGTTTGCACAGTTGTAACTTCACTGAAATAGGGAAGATCTGGATGAAACCCAAAACTAAACTGTGAGAGAATTTAGAGATTTAACACATGTACTGTACATGGACTGATTTTAAGAATACAGTATCTGAACCTTGTGATTATTCCAAGATTGATGTTCTGATTCACGTGGGTCAGGATTCTGTGACCTGTATATTGATGTGTAACTGTAGTTCAGTTACAATAGTACGATACTACAATCAAAAAAGCAGGAATCCTGAAACCTCATTGTTAAATCTGCCCGTAGTACAAATAAAGTAGTATTTACTGCTGTTTTTATTTTATTAGAGGCAGTAGCAAGAAGAACAGAACTCTTGTTCAAGGCCTATGACAGTACTGGATGAAGTGCAGGGCAACATGTAAAATCCTGATGGCTGTGATGGAATCCTCTGTCCCTCAGTACTGTGGTGGATGAGTAAAGAGATACTGAAAGAAGTTTGTATTTTCTCTTCTCCAGCAGATATGTCATCTCCCACAATGAAAAAGCCGGAGAAGCCATTGTTTAGCCCCACATCGCCCCAGGACTCTTCCTCCAGGTTGAGCACTTTCCCACAGCACCACCATCCCGGACTCTCAGGGGTCGGACACAGTGGTAAGTAGAGTGTTGTAAACCTGCGGACGCTGCTCAGTTCCATTTCCAAAATTGAATCGCAGTGTTACGGTGAGGTAAACGTGTTTTTTCTGTGTTAAAGAATGATTATTGTAGAATTATTTGTGTTAACAAAATGTAAAATTCAGTACTGATCTTAGTGTTTCTGCTCTGTCATGATACTGTGCCATCATTGGTTGACCTAAATTAGTTAAAAAAAAACATTACAAATAACATTACAGTTAACATTACTAAAGCAAACCAAACAGAACAACGCACGACTCGCTAAAACACAAATTGGCGAAAGGGAACATTTAATATGCTGTAGGTCATAAAACAGAAAACAGGTAATCTCAAATATATTTTTGCCAAGATCATTATCAGTCAACTAATAAATAAGGGTCTGGTCATATTAGGTATGTTAATAATATTGTTCTCACTATTTTAATAATATTTTAATAATAGTTTTCTCATGGATGTATTGTACTGAAAAAGGCAAATTAAAGGTTATTGCACAATACATTCGATGCGCGTAGCTATTTTGCACTGGAATTCCATTTCAGTAAATCATTTCTCAGTACTGTATTTATGTTAGGAATTTGCTTAAACTGCTAAATGGCACTGTTCACCGGTTTCAAGAGCCTTTTAAGGTGCTACTCAAGAGAAATTCTCACACCTGATAATGGAGGTAAGAAATAATCCACTGAAAATGTCACGAAGAAACGGATGACACTCTATTCCAGGGGAAAGCCAAACTTCATTTTAAAGACTTCAAAATTTCAGCAAAAAGAAACAGTTAAAAGAAACGTGTTTAAAAAATAATAGGAAAGATATATTTACATTGTGTCCATTTATCTGCATTTTATTCATATAGTACGATTAAATGTCCTAAGCTTTTGTGTTTGTATTTGTTTAGTCACATTTGGCTGTCAGCTGAATAATTTCTCTTAATTGATTAAAAAAAACATTTAATGTAATCATTTTCATCTTCACGCTTTTGAGTACTATGGAAACATATTGTTCCAGTTATTTTGTTTGTTTAATGGGTAAAAGAAAGATTAAGCCTTTATAAAACCACTTCAGAAGGCAGAATGAGGGTTGGGTTGCATTTTATTTATTGATTTCACAGCAGATGTTTCTTCTGTAAGATTTTGTGTTGGTAGATTTCTTACCTTTTTTTAATGGAAACACATCAAGAGATTATTGGAGATTATTAGAAGAACAATTTACTGCAAAAAGTCAGTTGTTTCCAATTTCTCTTTTAGTAGCTTTCTGGATGCCACACACAACTGTCATCCACCTAACAGAAGCAGAACACTTGTAAAGGGTTTCAACCACTTTGAACATTGCATTCAGCCAGCCTCCTGAGATGCTTGTTATTTATAAAAGTTAATACTGGTGTTCTCGGGTATCATAAGCAGAATTACACCAATGGAGAGTTCACCTGTCTGTTTTTTGACACAGAATATCCTTTACATCCAGTTTTTCATGTAAATAGTACAGTAACTACTTTTAAGAATATCAGGGAGGTTATAAATGAGAAGAGGCCATATGGCCTATCTATCCTGTTCGGTAGTCACTAATAGGCCTTATCTTGCAGTTTCTTGAAAGGAGCCAGAGTGTTGGGTAGCTTGTTCCATACTCCCACACCTTTTTTGTGTCAAGTGGTGCCTCTTGTTCAGTTTTAAATGCCCTTTCACTTGTGTCCCTTGGTACATATTTAACTGACTTTTCTGGAGGCCTACTGGGTGTACTTTGTTAATGCCTTTGACAAAAAGCATTTGTCATATATTTTTTGTCTTTAGTTACGTGTCTCATTTTGGATACCACTGGTTGGATTACATACCAAAATAAATTTCTCTCTCGTAAAAAAAGTCGGACTTTCAAACACTGGCAAAAGGAATGACCAGCCCTTAATAACAGGCCTATAGACTGATTTTAAATTAGTTTTTTTACCTTTAATAAACCAAAATATATTTTCTTTGTCTGTTGAGAGCTGTAAGAACTCCACTTATAAAAAGTTATTTAGAATTTGTCTCAGCAAGGTTATGAAGTCATAATTGTCTTTCGAATCCACATTCAGAGTCATTGACAAATGTATTGGCACCATCCGAGTTCAGATAAATCATATGAAGTCTTTTCTGCTTCTCGTCAGGATGAATCAGTGTTCAGTAAACTTCAAAAACATAACAGCGTAGCTGAACAAGCCATTCATTTATTGAGCTGAATGACGTAATGACTAACATTGTTTCCATTTAAAGGCATCATTACTTTTATCCACATCCAATGATGCTGCTCAGCTCCAGCCTTATTTAGTTAACCAGCTGACCTGGATGTTTTTGTTTGCAATGACTGCTTTATTACGGTTTTGTTTTTTTGCATCTTCTTTTTAGTTATTTCCACAAGGAGCCCACCTCCTCCGTCACCTTTGCAGTTTTCAGCGCCGGCTATTCTTCCTCCTGCCCCTTCGACCTACTTTTCTCACCCCACTATTCGATACCCGCCTCACCTGAACCCCCAGGATACGCTGAAGAACTATGTACCGTCGTATGACCCGTCCAGCCCACAGACAAGCCAGGTATGGACCTGCGCCTGCAAAGTTACTGTAGCTATAAGCTCCTTTGCCCATTAGCCAGGACAGATTTTAGCTTCAAACATGACATGACATTGGTATCCTCTGCTTCTGAACTCTCGCTTTCTGTATATCAGAAGGGGTGCCCAAATTAGCCCCTTCTGTTAAGCATAGTCCGTCTTGGTTAACTCCTTTTCCTGTTTGTCTTCAGACATGATAATAATGCACTAAAGATTAATGAATTATTGTGGAGGTTTGTTACTTGTTAAAGAATGGAGCCTCAGCAACATGCAGTCTGTTAACTCTTTGTGGATGAGATCAGCAGTCCTGGTCCAGGGATTATAATGCATTACTGCTACTGACTCTGTTTTGAAGAGTCCCAGCAAGAGAATTTTCTTCTACTGGGGTTAGTAGGCTACAGGCACCACCTGCCACATCAAATGTGATGCTTCATTGATGTGAGCACCAACTATAACCATTCAGTTATCCAGGTTGCACACCACTGAATGACAAACCTACAGTATGAGAGATGAGAAAACTTTAATTATATAAACCTAAATTATTGCCATTAGTTTTCAGAAGGGAGAGTAGCATGGTAACATCAGTATTGCCTGTTACAGTGTAGTTTTCATTACTTATAGGTAAGGGGTGATTTGTGTCTCATTAGTTATTTTTGTCGTTTATTTCCAGCACAAAAGTCAAGTAACTAATCACAGCCAGGATCAGTGGGCTTTTTTTTCAGTCCTCTTAAGTTGAAAGAAACAAAAGTAGGGGTTGAGCATTTTTTTAAACATTTTAAACAGAAACCTATAGTGGCATGACAGATGCTATACAGATACTTCTCTTGCTCAGCTCTTTTGGTCCAAGCATCTCTGTCAGCTCATGTAAAATTCTAACCATGATTTCTTACGTTAGTCTGCTTTAAATTACTTAGTCTCAAGCTGAAGCAGCCTGGACATATGCTAAGTAAGGCACTTATCTGCCTCTCCAAACTCTTGATTGATATTTTGGCCAAGTGAAATGTAGGGTCAATACATACTTTAGCCTCCATTGTGGGGGCTGATTGGTACGGATCGGGTGCTCTTTAACTTGGTACGGGGCCCACTCCCATCAATAGCATTTTCATGCTTCTTAGAAAACTGCAGGCTCAGCTTCAAAGAAGTGTTTCAAAGCAGGGTAATGAACACCAGGATAATTCATGATGCAGACAGATTCACGTGAACCCCTGTTACAATGGGATTGACATGCTGTTTATAGACATTTAGAAAAACATTTCCTTTTTATTTATTTGTCCTGAGTGCTAAATAAAGTATTTGATTTGTTTTAGAGGCACTGGGCTCTGCTCATTGAAAAGCATGGGCCAGGGTTTTTAGCTCTCTGTACTGGCTAGAAGAGATTGAAGTAAGCTCACTTAACAACTGCTCTCAATCTTGCCTTGTGAATTTTGGTTTTATTTCCATCTCTTAGAGTTTAGTTGAAATTGGAAAAAATGTCCGTGAATTTTTTCACATCTTGAATTTTAACATTTGGCATTGATACTAACATTTATATGGCAAATGTGTTCAGTAAAGCAAAATATGCTACATTCAAAACTCTTCTTGTTTTCCCAGCACTCCTTTTAGAAAAAATAGCAAAGTCAGTTACATTGTTTAGAAACACAGTTATCATGTTGCATTGAGAAAACTCCACATAACCATTTATTGTCAAATCTGTATCTCAGTATATTCTGGAGTTTACCAGAAAGCAGGAATTATTATTTTTATTATTAAGAACTTGTGGATGAAAACCATTGTTGGTTTAAACTCCTGACAAGTATATGTAAGAAAAACTTCACATGAACAAATATTCAAAGTAGACATTCTTTTTTACATTATTATAATAGATTGTTTCAATATGCAAACTAAATTAAACTGCCTTTATTCCTGTGACCAAATAGCATTGCCATTTTAAATTAGTTAACTCAGTTCGGGTCATTTGCTTCTGGCTTTGAAGTCTTGATCTGCAGCAGTTATTGCTTAACAGTCACTTTGCAGTTCAACAGTATCTTGCAAAGTTCTGTCCTACCAGCTGTGTAGGTTTAAGGGTTGGAAGTTCATTAACAACATAAACATGCTTTATAAAATTCTACATTTAAACAGTACAATGAGGCACTGAACTCCAAATGCAAGAAGATCTATATTCGATTATAGAAGCTACAAAGTAATAAGACATTAATACTCCCTGTGTTGGGGTATTTGTGATTGTACTTTGTAATGTCATTGACATTTTATTTTCACATTAAGCTGACACAGCTGAGTTAATTCAGGGTCAAGACCCTTGCTGCATTATAAACCATACAGTTTGCTTCTTGATTTTTGCCTGTTTTCCTTTTGCTAGGTGTGTAGCACAACACACTATGCATCATATTTTGTAGTACTGTGTGCTTTTCTGTGTACTAATGGCTGAAGTGTCTTCTGCCTTTTAGTAGGAGACTGCCTTCTCAGGCTAACAACCTAAATTTACCAAATCAATAAAAAATATAATAACCATTTTGTAAATATTCCATCATCAGTTCATTTATTTTGCTAATAATGGCATTTACTATTAAAATACAAGTAAAGCAAATCATATTACCTGACAAGAATTAATTTAAAGTCTTTTTCATAGCCGTGGTAACAGCTTTTTTATTTATAAACAGCTTGATAAAATTAGTATTGTAAAACTGTACATAATACCCTTTTCTTGGGGATACATCTAATAGAAACCTCCCCTGATTCTCAGCATGGTTCAGTGTAGATCTAAATCAAATGTGCCATTAGGAAAATACTTGAAAGGGGTGAGGCATAGTCCTTTTTAAGCTGTTTCCAGTTTTTCTGAGCAATCTTAAATGATAACTTCATCGCATCATTGTAATGTAATAGAATAATATAATATGCAAAAACAAAAGTTACAGAGCAATGGCAGTAATTCTGTCAATGAGGAAATCATCTTTTTAATCCAGCTTTTTGCAATAAAACATCTCATCAACTTAAATTTATATACATCGTCTTGAGTTCACAGGCACTGGATTAACCAATAGTTTAAAATTGGCGGTTAACTTTTGGAACAAAAGAGAAAATGATACTTTCTAATTTTCATGCAGTTCACAGTTGGTTTTCCCTTGAACCTTCTCACATACTGTACTTGAGGTAAATTCTACTTCGTATCATTCTTCGATTCCTTGCCTTTTAGGTATTAGTCTGTTAGTAGAAATGCTTTGGAAATGGTGAAAACTTAATAATCTTGAGCTTTAGGCTTTAAAAACCATTGGGAATGATAATGGCAGGGGAGAAGCTGTGATAACAAAATGTCTAATGTTAATGCAGCTGATGTATGGAATAACTCACTTATATGATGGAAATACTTGGCAAATAACATGCTGTGTATAATCTTGTGGACTAAAGCCAAGATGTTTTTATGCTTGCTTTAACGCAGATTATATTACATTCTAATTAAACATTCTATTCACATTAAGGAACCCTGTGGACACCATTTGAGGTTTGAACCTTGGGCCCCTTAATGTCAATTTTACAGGTTGTTTCCACCAATCAGATTCAGAACACTTTTTTTTTTTTAATCTGCAGGCCAGTTTGGGAAATTTAGTAATACTGTTTTTCGGGGCCAGGAGTTTAGTTTAAATTGTGAAAAAAAAAAAGAACAACCTTTTCTCATCTTAAACTGGGAGCTTGTCATACAAAAAAGGCAATGGGAGCACTAACCATGGGCAATGAGGGATTGTTGCACAACTGTGTAAGTTTACTATCAAAAGAGTAATCGTTGTTTATCAGAAAGAAGTAAGGACCCTCTTTTAGTTGGATTCCTCCTTTGCTTGCAGTTCCTACCTTTTGCATACACATATCTCACTGATATAATCATTGACATTGAGGGACTAATATAATTTATTAGCTGTGTTGTTGGTTGTAAAATATTCCTAGTTCTGTAGAGACGGTGACTACTGCCGCACGAAAACGAAATGTCGATGTGCATTGAAAAACGCAACAGTTGATTTTTGGAACCAGCGTGGCATTCGTTGCTTATTTAATGCCCCTCTGTATATAACCTTGGAAAAAAAAAACTGTCCAAAACATTTAAGAGACTTTTTTTTTTGCAAGGAAGCCTTTTGTTTGGCACTAAAGCTTTGTTCAATAGGGTTTCATTCAGCTGCCAGTTGTCTGTCTCGTTCTCTTAAAGGACCTTTTGTTTTGCTCTGTTTTGCAGCCCAACAGCAGCGGCCAAGTGGTGGGGAAAGTGCCCGGTCACTTCACACCGGTGTTGGCACCGTCTCCGCACCATGGTGCCGTGCGGCCCGTCACCCTGACTATGCCAGACACTAAACCCATCACTACATCCACAGAAGGTGAGCCAGCTTCACCCACCACAGCCAGTAAGTACCCCGGCCCAACATGGGGAACTCTGCTGTTCCTTGTCGCCTGTGTTCAGGCTTGTGCCGCCCAGCCGCGGGAAGCTCAGAAAGAAAACCATAGACACTCTACAGAGGGAAAAAACAACAGGCACCAACGCAGTAAAAATCCAAACTGTTACATGGTAACTTATTGGTCAGTAATGTTGTCTTGTCATCTGTGAAAATCAATCTTAGAAAGTATTTGTGTTTTTCAGGTGTAGAATTCATACCATTTCTTTGTATGCTCTTGCATTCTGCATTTCACGGGCCACACTGAATCAATAAGTAAAGTCAACAGTTCTAAACAGATTTGCCGAAATAGAGAAAGGAAATGTTCAGATTCTGCCTTCACGTAACCTTTGCAATTTGTATTTTTAAAGACAAATTCTCTTCAATCACATTGCTCAAGTAAATCTGTAATACTTGGCCACAGCCTGTGTTGTTTGGCTTAAGTGTTAAAAAAAATCTTTATATATTTTTGTTATTCAGAGAGAGGACAGAATTTGCAATTCCAGTGGACATCTGGTACAGTACTTACTATATTTCTTGCAGGATCAGATAATCTTAAATGTGGTTTTAAGAAACTAGAATAATGCTGCTAAAAGTTTAATAGTAGGGGCATACAGTAGTAACCCCTACAAAGGAATGAATAATATAACCATTCCTTTCTTTTTCAACATGCAAACACATTGTCACTGCTAGCTCTGGCCAGGAGAGAGTCAAACCAGCTTTTATTTTTCACTGTCGTTTGCTGAAGCTTTACCTAATAAGTGCCTCATTTGTACTGTCAAGCAAGCTGTCTGATTTTTTTTTTTTAGCATGCGGGTATTAACTTTTGATCCTTTCTTTCCGTCCAACTTTCATTTGAGTTTTTCATTCATTTTCACTCTAACATAAGACAAGTTCGAGGGGGAAAAAACAGACGAATACTTAATGCACTGGTTAATAAAGCATAACAAGAAACTATGCCGGGGGATATTTATTCAAAACCTGTTCAATTCTGCAAAGGAAACCCTTATTTAAAAATTTCAAATACAGACTAAATTTGTCTCAACTTGTACAAGAATCATTCAGGTACGCTGTTTCATTCAGAAATGAGATAAAGTGAAGCAGAAACCGACTCCAGCAGAATTCAGATTTTTGTATTTGCATTTGCATTTAACCAAAAAACGTCCCAAATGTTTCATATAAGGTCTTAATTTGGTCATACTTTATCATGTAATCCTGCCAGAACTCCATCGTCTCAATATGGCCTTACACTAAGTGATTGTAAATAATCCTTATAATTTTATTTTTAGTACAGGAAGTACTTATCACCTTCTGGCAGCACACAAAACTTAATAAATGTGTTTTCACATTTACCATTTATCTGTAAATATTTCAATGATAGTTCAGTAATGACAATAATGTTTTTTGTCACTTTCCTGACATGCCTAGTGTATTGATGAGTGTAGTTTTTGTCCAACTCTAAACAAAGGGATCTTTTATGCCAACAGAAAAGTTAACTTCCCACATCAACAACCTATAAATTGTAGTGATGTCAAGCACAAGCTATCTTAAGAGCATGCAATTGTTTTTTTTTTTCCTTTAAAACATGATGTGCTACATTTCATACATAGGAAAGCCTTGAACAAAATTGTCAGGCACCTGGACTGCAATACTGATCATTACTCTCTGCATTAACATATAGATAAACCTCTGCACAAACATCTTGGACACAATCAGGAATTAATATATGTGTGTTAAGAGCACCATCAGTTTCTTCAAAGCCCCCAGTAGTGCTTTTTACTATTATAACAAGTTTGAGTGTCAAGGATACAGCTTAGTTTGGTTGAGATGAAACCAAGACTGTCATTTACCTATCTTTAACTGTTCACAAATGTGATCTCTACAACTCAGGGTAAATTGTATATATAAGAAAATCCATTTCATTTTTCAATGATGTATGATTGTCATGTGTTTCTCATCATCGTTTCTACCACTCTACACCTCCATAAAGCTAAATGGTTACTTTTTGTGTCACAAAATTTGAACCTTTTGGGGTTAACTGTTCGTTTAGAAATATAATTGTTAAAATCTCAGTAGGAGGTTGTCATAAAATATTTCACTTTTTAATGTAGAAACAGAGTTTTTGCTCTGCAGTGTGTGTGTAGATATACAGTATGTGTGCCCTTTTCTAAGCAATAGAAAGTAAACACATGCTTGGTCTTGTTAGTTTCTGTCACTCATCTGCTTTGAGTAAGAGCAGCACATTCCTATGTTTATATTATATACATGTTTATTTGATATTAATAGTTGATACCTGTGTGACTGAAATGTCTTTTCAGAGTCTTATAAAGCTGTTCTCTAATGTGACCCCTGTTTCTCTGCCTCTGCCAGCCTACTCTGCCCCGGGTACTCCCACGCCAAACAGGTTTGTGGGACTGAGCTCCAGAGACCCGGCCTTCTTACACCAGCAACAGGTGAGCATTCAGAAAATGGACTTGTCTGTTACACCCCAACAGTGCCAGTGGCTGAGCCAGAACTGTTCACGGTGCTTTTGTTCCAGGTTACAGCACCTCCAAGGTCTTGACGTCCGGTAGCAAGAACAAAGTGCACGTTAAAGATTGCTGTGGCACATAATCCAGGCACCATTTTGATTTGGTGATCTGTGTCAGAAATTTCTCAGAATTCTGTTGTCTGAACTAGTTGCCTACCTACCTTAGATTAAGCATCTTTGCAAAAGCTAATTTTTGATTATCTCTGTCATTCAAATCATGTTTTATTCCTAACCCTTACAGAACTTTAACAAGGAAAGTGATAGAGGACACTGGTTTGAAAGCATTCTTAACAATGTTCAGAGGTGCACAAATCCACTTGTTTGTGTTAATCTGCATTTTCTGTGCACTGGAGTGGTCGTTTAACTAATATTTCAGCTCCACCTTAGGTACCATGCACCTTCCTTTATACTAGTCCTGAAAGCTGCCAGTTGATAAAACTGAAATCCATATTCCTGTGTTTTTTACTCTAGCCTTACACCTTTTTAGATGTGATTTGATATTCACTTAACAATAAGTGGTTGATAAAGGTGGCTGTTAAAAATAGATTTGAACTAACAGTGTTTTTGCTGCCTATAAAATAAACTTAGGTATACACACCTGCAAATAAAATCATACTGGGGACAAGTCTCAGCCACGTAGATTTTCTACGACGTACTAAATAGTCAGCAAAATGTAGTCTCTGTTAGCTTCCAGAGCGATGTGCAGGAATTGCTTCCATTTCAAAGGTGATCAGGGCATACACTTGAGGTCCCTAAACAAGAGCTTTGTAGCAAAAAAAAAACTTGAACACGTTGGCTCATTAAATTCAGATATATCTTGGCGAAGTTTGGTTTACGTTCACTAGGTTTATGATGAATGTTGGGTTTTCCTTTTTCTCAGTCCTCAAAGTATGAGGTTAGAACTCAAAAAGTTTTTCAATTGATTTTATGCCAAAATATTCCACTGAGTACTAATTGAATTCATCTGCACACAGCTAAATAATAATTAGTGGTTTTCTCTGCTCCAACCCTCTACAAAACAATTACAAGCCTTACAAGATTAATCTGTAAAGGTGGGCTAAGTTATTAAACTGTCATTTTGAATTTTGTCTGTATTATTACATGTATATATTTTCTGAATTATTTAATTTTTGGTAATTTGTAGTTCTTTTAATGTGTATAGTTGTTTTTCAGTATTTTCACTTAAGTATTTCCACATCAGGTCATTTGTCATGTAATGTAATTTCAGAAATGTTCATTATATTTCAAAGTTATAATATAACTTTGTAATATAACAATTGGTTAACATTTCTTTTTCATGTTTAAGAAGGTTTATAATATAAAGCTATCTGCTAGGAATAGTTATTTGCTAGGAATAGAATAGGAATAAGAAACAAATGTATAGAAGTAACTATCAGAAATTGCATCCCATTTAATGTTTCAATGCAATCACTCTATTTTCACTCTAATTGGAAAAATATAAATAGTGCTCAATAATAACAGTTTCAAGTCATAATCTCACCCCTTATAGGTTCAACTAGATTTTGAAAACAGCTGATGAAGCCTTAATTTTTTGTTAAACAGGATACAAATATATATGTCAAGATATGCACCATATGTTTAACATACTTTTTGTTGGGCATACATACAGGATGTTCCATAAAGTTAAATTAAACATACGCATGATCAAAAATAGACGCTAAGACAAAATGTGTCATACGTCTGTATGAATGTTTGCAAATAGATCTCAATGTAATTGACCACATCTCCAAGGAAAGAGACCTTCTGAAGCAAATCCTTTGGCTGGCAAAAGTAAAAGTAGTAACAAATCTGATTGATGGATTGTGACGTTTTATTTTTATAAAAGGATTGGAAAGGGAAAATTCTCGAAGACTGAGGTACTTAATATACTTTGTTTAAACCAGCAGACTGAATAAAAAGTGGGCAAAATGGACAGAATGAAATAAAGGCCATTTATCATTTTTATATTAGTCAGGGTTTTCTTGGAATTATAAAGCATGATTTGTACAAAGGGAAGGTCTCTGAACCATTCACTGCATGCTGTTATTGAGAACGACCCTGGAGGAATAAATAATGTCACAGATACATTCTGTCTTTTATTGTTGGGGCTGTTTCAGGAGATTTATACCTCTAGGTTATGAGATGTATTGACATATCCATTCTTATGGCGGTGCTGAGTGCCTTTTGTTCATGAAGGGGTACTAAAACACAGTGTGTATAAATTACACTAAGGTAAAAGCTTTAGATTTAAAGAGGCATCTTTTTCATTAAGACATTAACCCTACATGTACAACTGCGAAGGCTGACTTTGGGACTTTTCATACATGTCAAAAGAGCAACCTCTCCATCTTGATTTAAATAGTGCCTACACAAATTACCTGATTTTTGCCAAAAAATGAATTGACATGACAGGTAGATAAGTTTTAAACAATTCTGTAGGTAATTGACTAAATACTGCTTACATTTGCCCTTTTATTTTTATTTTCTGATATTTTGCAATTGAAATTAAACTCTTTTTCATTCAATTGGAAAGGGCTAATGTGGGTACACAACATGAATTATATAAATCCACTGAATGTGACTTTACCTAATTTTAGCTTTTCTCCTTTTATTTGAACCTTTAAGATGTGTAAAGCTTAAGCAATAGCTTTAAAGTATCTGCACAGCTTAATATACCGTACATTTCATGGAGCCTGTTATAATAATGCCAAAAGTAGCTTAATAACCAGTAATAATTAATGCGATTAATCTGCATAAGACTATAGTTCTCAAAACATCTTTTGTTTTGTGATTTTCTGGTGGGTCCAGATTTAAATGAAGCTAAGGCTCGGTAACCAGATGCTATCATAATAAGTGACAAAACTAATTAGAACAGTAACAATTATAAACCAGTATTTCTTGACCTTTTGTTAAGATAGAATTATCAGGATCTGTTTCAAACTTTCTTTTCATTAAAACTTTCATTACATCACTTCCATTTTTGATGGGCAGTTCTTAAAATGCTGATTACATTTTTTGTCTTGGACAACTTTAGATCAATTGCTGTCAGGATTAATACATTTTGACCCCAAGCACCCAAGTTACAAAGATATTTTTGTATCTTCTCTTTTTTTGTAAAAAACAACATCTAAAGGCCTTGTTAGAATTACCCGTCCATTTTCAGAAGTGACTTAGCCCAGTACAGAGTCGCAATGAGTCAGGGCCTAACAGGGCCTGGACACACCTTTGGGAGGGCGTCAGCGCCGTACAGGGGCCAGTGTAACTAACACCAGTTTACCCAGACTGCAAGTCGTTGGCTGGCTGAGAGGAAACCTGAGCACACGGAGAGAAGCCAGACGGAGAATGTGCAAACTCCGTACAGAAGGCACCCCAGAGCAAAACCAAACTCGGGGCAGAAGCACTGTCTCCCGGGTTTTAAAGGAGTAAAAGTTCTAATTGTAAAAATGACATTTATTAAAACTGATACAAGTAAAAATAAATGGGGCAAATTAAGAATTCTTTCAGCAGATTTTGTAAACCTCCAAACTTAGGTTTTTGAAACTGTAGTGGGAAATGATATTTTGGACAAACCAGATACTCATTAAGTTGTAGAGTAAAGAGTGTGAAATTTTTTTTATTGTACATTTTCCATATACTGTATATACAATAGAGCATGCAGCACGGTGCCTGTTCATTATATAGACTAGTGTCAGAGGGATACATGTGTTATATAAAGCTTAGAAAATTACATTTCACATTGAAGAGAAAAAATAGTAGAGACATTTATGCAAAAATATGGAAATACTATAAATTAGCATGTTCTTTGTGTCTTTAAGAAATTAAGCAAAGTGGAAAGTCTGTCCAGATGTACAGGCTGTACAACAAGATCATAAGAGACAATCTGACAGGCAGTCTTGCATCGCAGTAATGGCATCTGCTGAAACTTTCATACTTCAGGTTAACTGAGACTTGATTAAAGACTTAGAATGAAGGATGTGTTAGCTGTTTTCTAAGAATAATTTTCTGCTTCCAGTTTCAGTTGTCCTTCTCTGGAGAAAACTGATTCTTGCCAGCTTTTGGAATGATTAAATGTTATTTGGCTTTATGCAGATATGATTGATAATTTACCTTCTGTATGCATCTGTTAATTAACAAGCCTGGCATTGCTAAAAATGGTTTTCCATGTTACCTCAATATTGTGATCTAACAGAATGCAGCAGATGGTTAAATCCTTGAAAAATGTGCCACAATGAAAGAGGATAAAACACCCATTTTGTCTTGCTTGTTAGTGTTGCTTTCTGTATTTTCTTTCTGTGGGGCAAACTGGCTCTGGTGTGAACCAGACCTTGGCTTGGAGCAAGTGTTACTGAGGTTTTGCAAAATTAAAATGCCAACATGTGAGCTGGGCACAAGATTGAGGGCTGAGTAACTGCAGGACCGCGAATGAACCTGGCAGACTTAGACACAATTGTGTGAGCTCTGTCTGCTACAGTTTTTATGCTGATTAGGATGTTGTTTAAGAATGTTTCCCATTAAAGTGATAAAGGGGGAGTACATACTAGAAACGGCTACTTTCCCAGCTACCAGGAATACAACTGATAGAATCCTTCAACTCTAGCTGCTAAAGAAAGTGTAAAACAGGACATAAAAAAGTTTGACAGATTTTTAGATTCCTTTTATTCCTTCAGATGGAAAGTATATTGGGATTTTTTTAAGTTCAATTTTTGCAGAAGTACTAACACAGGAATTTTTTCATTGTGTGTTGCTATGCATGTGTTTTGTGAAAGCGGTTTTTAAATTTATTTTTAGTGTAGCATTGTTGCGATCAAAAGGCTTTAACAAAACACCCTCTGTCCTCCTTTTATATTTCACCATTAGGTTTCTAAGCCTCTACAGCTGCAGCTAAAATACACAAAAATAGTTTTAAAAGGAGCTTCTAGAATTAGGAAAACTTGCTTTTGCTCATAGCAGGGGATGTAGAGAGAAGAAAAAGAGGGAAAATGTTCATTGTGTAAAACTGTCGCATTGATGTAAGTGGATATCCGGGGCTGCAGCACAGCATTCTATTCCTGTTAAAGAGCCCCATGCCTGTGTTGAAGGCTGAGGATGTCATTTTGTACAGCCTCCTCTAATTCGGCTTGCCTTTAAGAGTACTGAACAGTCATTGTTTTAATTACTACCCATTTTGAAAACTTGAAACCTCATGGGGGAATTCGGGATGGTCAATAGACTGAAAGAAACATAAATAGATGCTTCACAGTCCAGTCAGGAAGCTGGCTATCAGCACTCAGGCTGTTCGTATTGTGTCTCATATCATAACTGGCAGCTTGACGTGATTGCTGACCACATGACCACCGCTGAGGTATGTAAGTGGATCAAAGGTCACCATTCACATGTTCTTTCTGCAGTGGAGATTGCAGTTAAGGCAAGATTGAGTCAAAACTGACACTATACAGATGGTTGATTCAACAGATTTTTTGTGATAGATTATATATACTGTATACTTCTTAGATGTTACTGTTTACCATCATCTTCCCTCTGTATTCCTAATCCAAACAAAAGTAAATCTATTTCCAGCAGTCAAAATGAACCTATATTTATTTAATTAGATCGTCAACTTAATGTTGCAAAATGTAACATATACCTGTATGTTGTGGTTTAGATTATAAGATGATTGTATTTACAATGCTGCAGTGTCATAAACTTGCTGATCAGTTCTAAAACAGTAGGAAATGAGTAGGTATGCCTAAAAGGGGTTAGCATAATGAATCGCTAAAGAAGATCATACATTTAGGCAAAATATACACGTATAACTGTGAGTATAGGCAGAACATGAAAAGAGCTTTTGATCATGCAGTATAAAACTGATCTTGCCGCATATCATTGGGCGTTCTTTAACGCACCATATCAGATTTAGTCTTGAGGTTCATAACCTTTACAGTGATGAATGTGGGATCTGTGTTTTATATTTCCTCCTCTCTGCTGTCACACACCCTTGCTGTACAGCTGTGCATTAATACTTCATCTGAGGCACTAGACAGCTGTTTGAAAAGTTGAGGCCTGCTTTCCCATCCAGATTGTAAGAGACTTAAAAAGAGCATTTATCTGACTTCAGACCGCCCGCACCCCCCCCAACAGCAACTGGCCTGTTTTTAACACTGACAATTCTTAAAGGCTATTGGCTTTTATTTTACATTTCTTGAAAATAACAACAGCGAAGATATTCTGAAATAAAATTTGAGCTGTTCACAACTGAGCAGTTCTCCAATAAAAACATCATCAAAGCTGTTCTGCAAAAAACTCTTTTAAAAGGGATGGTTTTGCCTGGATTTTCTTTCGTTTTTTGGCCTGTTCTTGTCAATGCTGAGCGAATCGGCTAGGTACTGTGTATGCTAAAATTATATCTGTGGTTCAATGCAAATTCTTTTCACCGGGATTTAGTATAACCAAGGAAAGAAGTTGGTTAATTAATTTTAAACCCTATTTCTAAGCAATAACATTTCCCAAAGGAAATACGAAATCCTTGTACAATCTATTTTTACAAAACTTTCCTCAAAGTCTTTAAATCCTTTGTGATGGTAGTGCTGGTATTTAACAATTTTTGGATATTTGTCTTTTTAACTCTTGAGAAGTTCAAAAACATTCACATGCCATTTTAACAGCGGTGTGCACAGTGCTTTTATAAACAGAGTAATCATTTTGTGGTGCCTTGTGATCTTGGATTTTATTATAACTTACTTTTTCTTATGTTGTTATAGATTGAGTTCCTTATAGTGTAAATGTGTATAGAAAGATGGAATATCCTTGAAAAGCTAAGGTGCTGAATTCAACACTTAGGTTGAACAAACACAGAAAAATAATTTTATTTGAAAAATACATTCCACTATTTTTCAAAACAATTTTTTGTAGAAATACTGGAATTTATTTTTCAGTCCTTATTTACATTTCTTTGTGTTCGACCTAACTGTTAAATTCAGCACCTTAGCTTTTCAAGGATATTCTATCTTTCTGCTCTTAACTGAGAACATGTTTGAATTATATTTTTACATTTTTAAATTTCACTCATCTTTATTTTTGTTTTTGATTTTGACTCGGGTTAAAATGATTTTTACCGTGGGGACATGATCATTTACGGAATGATGCTGTTAATTAAATCTGCATACTAGTTCAGACTTTTATTCCAAATTTTCACAATATAAAAAAAATCATTTTTTCCACTTTTTTCAAGGGTTTTCAATGTTGGAAACATGGGTTTTTCTTTTGATAATTGTAGCTTTTATACTGTGGTAGTGATAAAAAGTATGTTGAATGTATTCTGATTAGTTTTTCCTTTTATACGTATTGAAAAATCTCAATGATTATAGAAATATCTACATTTAACTAGTAACATCTCTATATTCTTATACTGTATGGTAGGCCTGCATATGGAAAATGTTTTCACATTTAGTACGGGGTTCTCTGTTTTATTTATTTTTTGATTTATCAGGAACATTAATTTTCTTTTAAATAGTAGTATCTTACCTTTTTGAAAACTGGATAAGTTGTGGGGTTGGACTGTCAGCACACTGCAATGAAAGGAGTCTGAAAGCAGATATCTCTTTCCTTTGTTAGACAACATATAGAAGAAAGCATATATAAATGTGCTTGAACTGCACACTGATTGATTAAAAAATAAAAAAAAGATGTATAGTTGGGTGTTCATTTTGAAAAAGCAAAAAAAAATGATCCAGCTTTTCTTGAATCTCCATGATAGCATGCGACTCTGGGGCCTTTAAGCTTATGAAGCACAGAAAATAATCTGCTTCCTCTTAGCACCACTGCAGTGCCCTTTGGATGACATCTGGATTGCCTGCAGTTCCTGCATCACAGAATTAAAGCAGTGCAACTCTAAATCAGCGTTAACACTAATGACTGATTTTCACAAGGTGCATGTGTGTAATTAAAAATGCATGGTTTAACATGACAAATGAAGCACTAAATAGTCTTGAATGATTTATTTTAACGTGACGTTTTGTATACTAACGTTTCTTTTGTTCCAGGTCAGTTAATGGTTAGATTACTAATGTGATTGCATGCAACATATAATATCAATTTTGTTTTAATATTTAACAATACAGATCAATATAATGTTTTTGAATGTTGGTGATGTTTTTTTTTTAAGATAAAACATTATACTATTGAAACAATCTTTAAACATTTTAAAGGCTTGTATTAAACAAACAGTACATTTGCATGCATGATTTTGTGAAGAAAAAAAGTGTAGTTCTGCTCGACCCATATCTGACTGCTAGGTTTCAATTGACAGCTGAGGATTTGTGACTGGACCATGAATCAAAACGGCAGGCATTTATACCCCAGTGCCAGTGAGGATACTTTGGGAATTACTTGGCAAAGGTAACATTTTAATTATTTCAAAATCTATGCTACATCTATAAATTATACTCTATATCTGCTTTGGCTGGCCCCTATTTGATGTAGATGAATAAAACAACTAAGATGAATATGCATAATTTCTTCTCAATGTGTATGTAACTCTTTAAAATATGCAATTTAGAGAATTGCTGAACAGGGTGTGTAAGTTAAATATGGTGTGACATACAATTAGATGCATAGTTCCAAACATGCTGAATGCATTTTCTAAAGCTGCAGTCAAAACTGCGACAGTACCATCTCTTGTCTGTATCCAGTGCTTTTAATGTTTTTCTGTTTTTGTTCATTCTTTTTGTTTTCTTCATATAAGTGCTTCCAGGGCTGCAGATGCAAATAAACTGGAATTATTTCTTTAATAAATCAGTTTACCGAGTTGTACTGTTACATTTTAAGATTTATAGTATTAAGCTCTAAATAAGCATAGCATTTTCTCCTTTATAGCTCCAAATAATTGGTCATTTTAAGATGTTGTCAATGTTGCTAAATGTAAAGCACATATCAGGTGTGTGTGCCTTTGAATGCAGTGTTATTCTTCCATATTTTCTCTTCCTTGTGGGACAGTGTTTAGCCTGTTCTCTTTGTTTTACAGTGCCAGTTAAGGAACAGCAGGTTTTAGGCACATATTATTGTGATACACCTTAGAAACCTGACAAGAACGCCAACCAAACCCTTCTCTTACCAAAGATCCAGTGTTCATATACTGTATTTTCATTTTGTTTTGCAATGACAGAATTAAAAAGTTTTCGAATTTTGAGAAAGAAAATCTAAATCCACAGAACAAATGAAAGAAAGAAGCATGACTGCAAAAACAATTTGTGCCGCCTCTGAAGATGAGTAATATGGAAGTATTGACTACTTTGCATACATTTGCAAATTAACCAAAATGCAGTTAAAAGCAAAGAACACCTTGTTTAGAGAAAAGCATGTAACATTTCACCAGAAGTCTTTGTTCAATTACCATTATTCATAAATGATCAAATAACTACCCAATTCCAGTTAAAATGAGAGGAATAAAGAAGCGTGATGAAACAGTGCATTTCACACAGTCTTCAATTCATCAGCGGGAAGTATTGTTCTTACTGATTGAGGTCTCAGGGAAAATTGCTCCTCAGGCAACCACTACTATATTAAATTAAGCCACTTTATCTCATACCTTTCTAATTCAAATCAGTGACAGTATTTTCATAAATATTATGTTTTTTTGCACTACACAGCTGTTTATTACACATTAAAGCATATGCAGTGGATGTAAACGGGTTAAGAAAGTCCACAGTTACGCTATTTTCAATCAACAATTTAATTTGTTTAATTGTTCATCTCATGTTTCATCTTAACGTAAGGCTGAAAGGCAATGGAAGGCAAAGAAGAGATGTGGTACGTTAACCATGCAGGTGGATGGTTGAATGACATAATATTTCCCATGTAAGAGATTGTATGATTTTATGGACGGCAAGCAGTATTGTCTGTTGTCCTGAATTCTTAATGTGGGTCTGTGCATCACAAGTCCTTTGTGTTTTACAATTGGTTCCCTTTAACAAAAAATGATAAAAGAAGCTAAAGAACGGCATTCTGAAATTGTAATGGTTATAACTTTTAGATAAACTGCCAGTTAGACTTGCCTCGGTTAGTTGCAACACCTGCTGCAGTGTGTGTGTCAGTAAGCCCATATAGGTATGAGTCTACAGTATGTGCCTGTCAGTAGCTGAATTTGGGCTGGACGCGAGTCACTTACTGTATAACTTATAGGTCCAGCTGATTTGGTTGCTGGAATGAGGCTTCATTAGTCACTAAAAAGCCTAATAGGGAATTGGCTGTGCTTAAAAGAATACCAGGTCACTAATGGTTAACCTGTGCTGTTCATTGTTATATGATCCCTCCCTCTGTAAGTGGAATTGTTATGTTTAGCTTCAGTTTAATGTAAACCAAGAGGAAGGCCTCAGATGGCTAAGGCAAACATAGTTGTGTCACTGGAAGTAAAGCATACATAAAACATCTGTTTGAGGCCCTCTGTGGTGGGCAAATCAGATCTTCATACAATAAATGCAGAAGTGTGCTTATTTAGCGACAAAGTCATTTTTATAGTAACTTTTTAAGTATTGATTTTTTTTTCCTTTGGGACATTTACTTTTGTTGAGTTGTTAATACTATGGTTATGATGATTTTTTTTAGTTTACAGGTTATGACAAAGTTTTGTAGGATTTTACAGAACAGAAAATTGATTTGCACGCCTACTTAAAAAAAAAACAGTGATGACAGCAATGTAGACCTCATAAACACCAGTTAAGAATACTTTTAATACTTTTTAGTGTGGCTGAACATTTTTTAAGATCAACCCAAAAGTCCCATTTACTTTAAATCATTCAAGAATACAATGAAGTGACCGAGATACTGTATCATAGTCTATTGAAGACAAGTATTAGTCCTGTACCAACTAAACAGCCCTGGGTTCAATTCCTGGAGTACCTGGAGTTTGTACATTCTCCCTGTGTGTATGGGTTCCCTCTGGGTACCCTGGTTTCCTCCCACAATCCAAAGGCAAACTGGTAGGTTAATTGGGATCTGGGAAAACTGGCCCTGGAGTAAGTGAATGCCCGTCTGTGTTATCTGTGCATGCCCTGCAATGGACTGGGTGTCCCCCACTGTCCAGGGTGTACCCTGCTTTGCACCTGCTTCTTGCTGGGAGAGGCTCTGGCTTCCCACGACCCTGAATTGGATAAAAAGGTTAGAAAATGGATAGATAGGTAGCACATTGCAGTATTTTATTAAAATTTCTCTTGTTTCTAAGGCAAAGTAGATATAACAATATAGAATTACATGTTTTAATTTGGTCATTATAAGTTTGGTATTAATTGGCTAACTATTTGGAAAAAAATCTGAAGCAGTTAATAATAAAGATTAGGAGGAAAGGGTTTGCAGATTAAACATTCTTTTTCATATTTATTGTTTGATAGAGAACTACTTCTATTTCTAAAATGAATAATACACTTTGCTCAAAGGAGAATGAAATTTTTGTCCTAAGAAGCTTGTGATCTTGTCCTTTTAAGAATAAAGGTAACCACAATAATATTTTTGCTAATGTTGCCATCACTAGAAGAAATTTATTTTTTTTGTTTGTTCCCTGGTTGTCTGAAACTACATGATTTACAGTATATAAGTATAATACTTGTATAGTAAGTAGTGTATTTACTTAGTATCACAGTTGTTTTCTGTATTTGTGGGCTGCAAACCATTATGATAAGTGAAGTCTGGAATAAACATGTTGACAGTTTCCTTGAAATTCTTTTTCTGACAAAGTTAGGACTAGACGACCTGCAGTTTGTATAATCTTTTACTTTTTAATTATGTAGAGAATTATTGTCAGAGCTCTTCTTCTTTTGCAAAGTGCTTCCCATTAGACCCTCAGAACCACTCTACTCTAGTACAGTTCTTTAAGAGTTAATCCTATGTAGCTTTTCAATAAGGCTGTCTTGGCAAAAGTACTAGGTCAGCATTTCCTGCCTTCAGTTTGTTATCTTGACATATAAACGTACAGTACAGCAGCTGGTTTCGCAGGATTCCTAGGGAGTTTTATTCTCAGAGTGCCGTGTTTCCTTTGCAGCCTCTAGCTTAGGGGCTTTTTTTTAAGTTCATCTGAAAACCAAGACCTTTTTTGTGCCTCCTAGTAGCAAACTGGAGGTAAGAGAAGATGTTCAGTGAACAACTTAAGGATCAGGGCATTTTACCTTTTTAAAATAAATGGGTAATGTCCTCTGAAGTACATTGATTATCTGCTATTTATTTGAAATGTTATCATATATCCACTGTCTGTAACACACAATTGGCTATTCCCAGAATATCAAAGAAGACTCCATAAAACACCATTGCTCAGCCAGTCCTTTATGTATTCTCAGCCTCTTTTTATGTTGAACGAGAATATATGTAGCTCCAAAAGTGACTGAAGAGTGCAAACAAATTTGAGGACGTACAGTAAAATCAACTGAAAGGAAAAAAGGCCCACCAGTTGTGTTGCTAGAGGGCCTAAACGAGAGGGCTTTTGTCATCATTGCGTTGCCATTTTGCCAGATGACTCTGAATGATTCTTTTGTTTGTTTTATTTCTTTTGACTGTGATGGGAGGGAGCTGCTGGTTAGAGAGGCATTAGAAGAATTTGAAAGAGGAGTGCTTGCAGCCCACCGTGAAATATGGAGGAGGCAACACTTTGGATAAGGTGTTGGAGAACCTGTACCAATGGAAGTGTCAGGGGAACTAGAAGGAGTCAGTGAGGAATTCTTAAGAATATGACAAACATTCATTTCTACATTTGTGTTTCTTCCTGGAGAATAAAATATTTACAAATCCATTCTAGAAAAATATGCCAGATTTTTCCATAAAAGAAATGAATAAATGATTACAGTACAAGAAAGCAGGAAATGTATCACTGGATAATAACAGTTCAACATGAGCAACTAATTTTATTTTTTCCATTACATGCTTGTCTTTGTCACTTAATCAGCTTTTCTGTTAAGCTGTTCTAGCTATATTAACTTGAAAAAGAAAATTCAAACTAAATGCCACCCTGTAAATACATAGATGTCCTCCAGGCTTATTTATAAATAGCCCGTATACAACAGGTGTGGTGAGTAATATTACTTCCAGTCAACAGCATCTGGATACTATTGGTGATTAGTGAAATGTCTTGTCATGCACAGGTGAAAACTGTGATGACCATTGTAAAACCACATTTTGTTGTACTAAGCTCAGTGTTCCTTTATCAGTTTTGGGATGTTATGCTTTCAGCGTATGATATAGATCATTAATTTTCAAAACCTAAGGAACTACACGTTACACTAAACTACAGTACATTAACCTAAACTTGCCTTGTTTGTAACAATTCTCAATACAGAGCAAGCACTTTAATATTTGAACATTGATTTTCTATAGCCTTGTATTATTTCTATATACTTTTAAAGTTTAGATTTTTTAAG